TTACCATCCGAGTTGCCGTCGGGGAAGTGGCTCAAATAGCCTCGGCTATCACTTCCTTTTGACGGCCGTGATGGTCAAGCGGATTAAGGCGCCCTGTAGTTACCAGTTGCGTTGCTTCTGGGAGTATGGGTTCGAGTCACTTCTGGGGTGTGAGTTTTCATTCATATATATATATATATATATATATATATATATATATATATATATATATATATATATATATATATATATATATATATATATATATATATATAATCTGTAATTATATATCAATATCTCTCTGTAATCTATATATCTCTGTAATCAATTTGAACGTTAGATCCCTAGGCAAACACTTCGATGATGTTAGTGCCTTGATTGAAGCTATTGACAACAATTTCTCTTTTATTATACTTACTGAAACATGGTTGAAAGATGATACTACTCAACTCTTTAACATGCCTAACTACTCAGCAATCCACAACTGTCGTCAACTTCAGAGAGGTGGTGGCACTGCTCTTTACTACCACCAAGAACTAACATGCTTAAAAGAAATTAGAACTAGAGACTGCTATGGGGAGTATATCTTCGCCAGCTTCAGAGTCAAGGGTGCCGAGTCTGTCCTGTCTGTGGGTGCAGTTTATAGAATTCCTAACACTGATGTGTCCGAATTCAACTCAAACCTTAGAAATCTAATACTTGATAACAGACTGAACAAAAACCACCTAATTATTGCAGGGGACTTTAATATTGACCTCTGCGAGCCAGAACACCCTACTGCTGTTAGCTTCCTCAACTGTATGAATTCCTGCTTCCTCATACCCTTAATCACTAGACCTACTAGAATCACTGATAGTTCTGCCACGACTCTAGATCACATCTGGACCAACATACCCTCTCCGCTTACTTCAGGTATAATCACCGATAGCACTACAGACCATTACCCCACATTTCTCTTAACTAACATTAGCAAACCACCTCTAGAGTCAAGGGAGTTAAGCTTTAGGCTGCACAATGAAACTGCTATAGATAATTTTATAACTGCTGCTGATAATGTCAACTGGGAGTCCGAGTTAGGTAACATAGGGGACATCAACCTAGCAGTGCAATCTTTTCTTCAAAAAACTCTTAGCCTTTATAACACCCACTGTCCTATGCTTACAAAACAAGTCACAACCAAAAGGCTTAACAATCCTTGGCTTACAAAGTGAATACTTAAATCCATTAATAAAAAACATGACCTTGAGAAGAAGTATAGGTTAGGAACCGTCTCCAAATACTTCTCAAAGAATTACTCGTTATTGCTATCCAAGACAATTAGAAGAGCCAAAACTAAATACTATGAAGATAGATTTACCCAAATAAAGAGCAACATTAAAAAAACTTTGATCTCAATATTTGTGAAATTGTGCTCCAAGAAGATTTTAAATAACAAACCAATACTCCAGTCCAATAACGATGGTCAGCTTTCAGCCTCTGATTCTGCTATTAAGTTCAATAGGTTCTTCTCTTCCATTGGGTCATCCCTTGCAAATGATATTCCATCTTCCAGTACTGATGTTAAGGACTATCTTACAGGTAACTATCCACAGTCTCTGTACCTAAAGCCTGCAAATTCCACTGACGTCAATGAGATAATCCTTTCCCTTAAAACCAAGTCTAGTGCCCTTGAGGAGATACCAACTTTAATTTACAAAAAAGCCTCCAGATCTTTAGCCCCTGCTATTGCATTGCTCTTCAACAAGTCACTTTAACTCCAAACCTTCCCAGATATTCTAAAAAAAAAAGCGACAGTAACGCCTGTCCACAAATGTGGTGATCTCACAGATGTTAACAACTACAGACCTATATCAATCCTGCCTAACTTGTCAAAAATTGTTGAAAAACTAATCTACAAGCAGCTTTACTCTTATCTAGCCAAACAATATACTTAGCTCTTGCCAATATGGCTTCAGACCCAAAAAAAGCACTAACGAAGCACTTATTAGCATGATTAATTTGATTCATGCAGCTCTTTATAAAAATGAGTTCCCTGTTGGGTTATTTGTGGACCTGCGTAAGGCTTTTGACACTGTCAGCCACCAAAACCTTCTTCTTAAATTACATCTTTATGGAGTCAGAGGACACTCCCTGCAATACCTCAAATCTTACCTTACTGACAGGCTCCAGTATGTTTCTGTGAATAATACAATTTCGCCCACCCTACCCATCAACATTGGTGTTCCCCAGGGCAGCATACTTGGCCCTCTCCTCTTTCTCATCTACATTAATGACCTTCCAAATGCCTCCCAACACCTCAAACCAATCCTATTTGCTGACGACACGACCTTCATTTACTCCAGTCCTGATCCCCTTGCTCTAAATGCCACAGTAAATACTGAGCTAAATAAAGTCCATCTGTGGCTAACTGCCAACAAACTCACCCTTAACATTGACAAAACTTTCTATATTCTGTTTGGCAATAAATCCTCTAATCAAATAAATCTCAAAATAAACAATACCCAAATTTGTAACAAATTAGATGGCAAATTCCTTGGCATTCTCATTGACCACAAGCTGAATTTCCAGGGACACATTCTAAACATATCAAAAAAAGTTTCAAAAACTGTGGGCATTCTTTCTAAGATCAGATATTATGTACCACGCCCTGCCCTGGTGACTCTCTATTACTCCCTTATCTATCCATTTCCCATTATGGTATTTGTGCTTGGGGCTCTACTACCCAAAATCACTTACGTCCTCTAATTACTCAACACAAAGCTGCTATTAGGACAATATCCAACTCTGGCCCCAGACATCACTCGGTACCCCTACTCAAATCTCTGAATATGTTAGACATTAAGTCACTGCACATTCACTCATGTGTATTATACATGTACAAAACGCTAAATTGTAATGCCAATCCTGATCTCAAAAGCTTCATAGAAGGTTGTAACAGAACCCATGAGCACCACACCAGAAATAAATACAGTTTTGATATTCCTAGAGTACGACTTAATCAAACCAGAAATGCTCTACAAATCAAGGGGCCCAGGATGTGGAATGACCTTCCCAACCATGTTAAAGACAGTACCTCTCTCAACCAGTTTAAGTTAAAAACGAAGCTATACCTAATAAATTCCCTGTAACCTACCTTACCTCTCTATTGTCAACCCATGTATGTTTTTTGTTTTTTTTTGTTTTACAAATCAACGCTGTTTTAATGTAATTTTCTGTAATAATTTGTAATTGTATTTGTGCTGTTTTTTCAACAATGTTCCCCCCTCTTTTACCTCTATTTTTATTTGTACTCAACGCATTTTTTTCTTTTTACCCATTAGTTTTAAGCTTTAGTCAGTAGTGTTTTTTCCTGCCAGAAACGCTTTGCGTAATAGTGGCTTTAGGCATTGTATGTACTAGCTCCTATCTATAAAGCCAACAAACTTTGTAAAATCTCTTTATGTATGTACCTTTGCCTAAATAAAAATTATTATTATTATTATTATATATATATATATATATATATATATATATATATATATATATATATATATATATATATATATATATATATATATATATATATATATATATATATATATATATATATATGTGTGTGTGTACATGTATGTATGAGGGTGTGTACATGTGTATACAACATTGATAATTTTGTAACTAGCGTCAAACATTGTTATTTGCTTAGCTAAACGAACTAGAGGGTTCAGTTCCTGAACCGATTATGTGCCTCTGTAATCCTTTACACCACCGCCCACGGGATGGGTATGGGGTGCATAATAAAGAAAGAAATTGAATTGAATTTGCTTCTCTGATACGAGAGCGCTTTGTTAACGAACAAAGTAATACAAACAGTGCGCTAAGCATTGTTAATGGAAGCGCTAATTATATGATGAAGTGTCATGTATTTATTCAGACGAGAACAGCAGCGAACACAAACCAGCACATATACGAACGGAAGGGTTTGTATGTACAAACTTCTCAGTGAAGTAGGAAATGTATATATGTTTCTCACTATGTGATGGAGTGCGAAAAGATACGTGAATTTAGAGACAATTCTATAACCAATGTTCCAGCGATGTGTCAATATTTCATTCAAAATGATCTGCTACCAGACATTTTAGCCAAATATCCCCAGTTTGCTAACTGTAGGTAGTAACTAAGTGATTGTAACCTATCCACCGCTGCCCACTGGATGGGGGGCGGTGTGCAGGACAAACATATAAATTGTGACACTAACTCTCCACATATGTCAGTTGCTTAATTTAGAACCTGTACTTGAGGTCGATCTCGAACCCATTGTTGATGTGACGACTTATATTGAATTTTGTAACTAGCTCATCAAGATTGTAACTTGCTTAGCTAAATGAATTGTGGGGTTCAGTCCCTGAGCCCATTATGTGCCTCTGTAACCCTTTCCACTACCGCCCACAAGATGGGTATGGGGTGCATAATAAATGAACTAAACTAACTTATCTCTCAGAATGTTTTGTAATATGTTTATTGTTTGTGATGTGTGTATATGTATGTATTAACACGATGTACTGAACGGGGTGAGAATAGCTTGAGCTACCTCATCCCTTGGTGTGTATTTTACCTCAATAAACTTATTTCAATTCTCAGTGAACCAAGTTGTTACTAGTGCGGTGTACGAAACAGCAGTAGACGACGTGACCCGTCCCGGCGCCACACGACAACAACAACAACTGGCCGGCCGCCGCCCCAGGAGCAGCACCCAGCATCACCTGACCCCATAAACACACCAGCCAGCTCTACGGTGCGGCAAGTCTTCCTCTAACACACACCTCTGTTGTAGTCGCCGCTCCTCTACCTACAGCACACCGCAACACACACTTAAAGCTGTTATCATCCTCAACATAGAGGCGCCTCCCTACAGCTGTACTGGCACAGTCCCCGGAAGGACGAGCCCTTCACCTCACCGGGAGGACGAGCCCTTCACCTCACCCCAGGAGGACGAGCCCTTCACCTCACCGGGAGGACGAGCCCTTCACCTCACCGGGAGGACGAGCCCTTCACCTCACCCCAGGAGGACGAGCCCTTCACCTCACCGGGAGGACGAGCCCTTCACCCACACTGCCCCAACTCTCAAGAAGTCATGCCCTACGTGCTCGTGGGACGAACGCACCACTTTTATGGCCAGAGGTCAGTCTTCTAGTGCTTTAACCCTTATATTATCAGCCCGTGGTAATGGAACTGCCCGAAACGCTTTGCGTAATAGTGGCTTTAGGCATTGTATGTACTAGCTATACCTATAAGTTAAACAATCCTTGTAAATATTTATTGTATGTATGTACCTTACCTAAATAAAATTGTATTGTATTGTATTGTAACTGATTGCTTCCACCACCTCGCTCACCTTAATATAATAATTCACTTCAATAATTCCTTGCCTGAAACGTTATGCGTACTAGTGGCTTTAGGTATTGTATGTACTAGCTCTATCTATAAATCCAACATTATGTTTGTAACTAATCCTCTATGTATGTACTTTTACCTGAATAAACATTTGATTTGATTTGTCAGGGGACAGGTAGCCACTTTATACATACAGTAGACATTAGGTTCAAATCGAGGCCCCCCCCCCCAGGGTTGAACTACTGACCCCCCACAATACAACCCCACAACATCCTAACTCCTGGGTACCTATTTACTGCTAAGTGAATAGGGGTATTAGGTGGTAGGAAATGCTCCTAACAAATTGTGTTCTAGTTGCCCGGGATTCAAACCTGGAATTCTCGATTGTGATTCAAGAACGAACTCGCCTGTACTACTGGGATCATTTTACTTGAATTTACCTAACAGCCACCATCTCTCTAGTGACCTCGGCAAGGACAGGAATCCAGCAGCTTCTCAAAGGTCCCTCCATTTGTCCTGATGAATTTATCGAGCTAGATATTAAATTGCAGTAAAGTTTTGGCATTTATGGCTTTAGCAGGTAGGCAGTTCCAAGGGTTAATAATCCTGTGGGTGAAGACACAAACCCTGTTCTCAGTCCTACATGTGGCTTGTTGAGCTTGAAACCATTGCTCCTTGGTTGTATTACATCTTACCACGGTTGCCGGAACAACCGTGGACATCTTCAAGAGAAAACTGGGCTGTTTTCTAAGAGAAGTGCCGGACCAACCGAGCTGTGGTGGGCCTGCGGGCCACTCCAAGCAACAGCCTGGTGGACCAAACTCTCACAAGTTTGGCCTGGCTTCGGGCCGGGCTTGCGGAGTAGAACTCCCAGAACCCCATCAAGCAGGTATCTGACCTGAAGAAATTGAAGTTTGTCAATGAGACATTGACAAAGACATACACACCCAGAGTATGAAGTTTCCTGGCGGTCCTTTTATTATTTCTTGTCCCTTCATACGTTCTCTTCTATTTGGATCTTATGCCGAATACTGTCTTCTTGTATCGTGTGGTGCTGGCGGAGCTGCCTTAGCTTGCACTCAGGGTGGATGTTACTTCTGCTCCATTCCGCATGCTGTCTTGTGTGTTGTTTCACCTCCAGCCTGCTCATGCGCTGCCTGAGCTGTCCTGCTCGTTGGACCAGGTGCTCTCTTTTTCTTTCTTCTCCTCGGCTCTTTTTGTGTTTGCATTTTACCTCTGAGGGTCAAGTTGGGGAGCTTCATGCTCTTCTCTGGCACAGGGATTTCTGCTCTTTTTGGTTCTGATGGTAGGTTTGTTCTTTTGCAGCTGTCTCTTCCTTCTCTGGCAAAGACTGAGACTGCTGCTTTCTGGACGGGTCCTTGAGTTGTTGATATTTGGTTGGTTTGGCCGGAGGTGCATCATGTGTTGTGGCTCTTATCCATTACCTGCGCACCACGGCCTTAATGGCTGGGGACGCGCTTTGGGATGGCCTGGTTTCTCTTCTTCCCTGGAACAGGGAAGAAGGAAAACTACTTGTTCCCTGGAACAGGGAAAAAAGGAAATCAGGTTCTGTTTTTGTTTTTTTAAACAGGTTCTTCGTCCCCGTTTTAATTTGAAAATTAAACCCTTGCTCATGTATCATTCCGAAAATCCAAGGATTTTCAAAAAATATAATGTGCAGAAAAGCCAAATGTATGTGATGTTGGAGGGCTAATAGTAAGGCATGGGTGACAGGGCAATATTTTACCGATTCGATGAATGAAGTGGTTTGCCCTTCCATCTAAAAATATCTGCAGGAGAAAAGTTTGCCACTCAAGGCTGTGCTTCTCCTCGACAATACTCGTGCTCATCCTCCAGGCTTTGAGGATGCTTTGTTGGATAAATTTAGTTTTGTTACAATAAAGTTTCTTCCCCCTAACACCACTTCTCCAATTCAGCCTATGGACCAGAAAATCATTTACAATTTTAAGGAACTTTATCAAAGGGCACTTTTCCGTAAATGTTTCGAAGTGACTGATTCCACAAACCTGACCCTCAAAGAGTTCTGGAAAAAAACATTTTAACATTTGTAGTGCTTTTAAACTCATTGACAAAACCTGGCAAGAAGTAACTCAAAGAACCATAATCTCTGGCTGGAGAAAATTGTGGCCAGTTCCAGAAAATGAGAAAATGAGTTCTAGAACGAGACTTTGAGGGGTTTGAGCCTGAACTTGAAGTGCCTACTGTTGAGGAAATTGTTTCTCTGGACCGCAAATTGGACTTGGAGTTGGATGGTGCTGATGTGGAGGAGTTGGTGGAGGAACAACGAAGAACTGACCACCGAAGAACTCCAAGCCCTTCACAAGGAGCAGCAACAAGAGGCAGCTGAGGAAATGTCTTCAGGGGAGGAGGAGACAGTACAGAATGTCCCTTCCTCAACAATTAAGAAGTGGTGTAGACTATTGGAAGAAATACAAATGTTTGTTGAAACGACTCGCCCAGGGCAAGCTGGAGTAGGCTGTTGCCTTAACGTCTTTAATGACACTGATGCCTCACTACAGACAAGTGTTACAATGTAGGGAAAAACAAGTCTCTATGGAAAGATTTTTAGTCAGAAAAACAAGCAGTGAATCACAACCGGGTCCTAGTGGTATGCAGGCAAAACATAGGGAAGAGAGTACCCCAGAGAAGTCATCACTGCCTAATGTTATAATGGAAAGAGGCTCCCCTTCCAAACACTAGCACCTCTCCTCCTCCCTCCCTTCTCACCGTCTTCCTCACTTGTACATACTATACTACAGTACTAAATATTTGGATGAATTAGGTGTGAAATTTATTTTGAAGTAAATATTTTTGAGTGTGGAACGGATTAGTTAAATTTACATTATTTCTTATGGGAAAATTTGTTTTGGGTTGCAAACCGTCTTTGGGTACAGATTAAATTTGTAAGCTGAGGTACCACTGTATAAACATTTTATTATTGGTGCACACTCACAGGAAATGCTTGGCCGACCTTGGGGTGTGTGGCAGGTCACTCGCTGGCGCAGCTGCTGTTGTTGTTTTAGATTTAGCTACTCGGAACGAAATGTCCATGTAGCACGGGCTATGGTGAGCCCATAAGCTGGCGCAGCGACAGTGTTAATTAATCTATGTTTTTCAAGATGAAGACTGTACACCTCGCTCACAACCTCTAGGGTAGTTAAAGGAAAAACAGATATTTACTTATTTGCTTACTCCTTCACTCTGTTCTACTCCAGTTATCTTCTATAAGTGTATTTTCAATCTTACTCTAAACTTTATATTTACTCTTCTCTAATTCTTTACTTCTTTTCCAAATGTCAAAATTATCTTCATCAAATAAGAAGATAATATTACTCGTAAATGGTACTGTATTACTGAATTGAATATGTTTTTTGAGGATTTAATACAATAATGATGTCAACAAGCACAAACATCAAATATCTATAAAAAAATATGTTTAAATTTGGGATCTTGGATAAAAGTAACATTAATTCCATTTAGTAATGATGTTTTCTTTTCATCTTGGTTTGCACAAGTGGAGCTTTGTGAGGCTGTCTTTGTACAATATTGTAAAATGTTACAGATTATGGGAGATTGTTGGTCGTCTGAAGGACTTGGGCGCAGGGAGGATGGTAGTGAGGAGTCGTTTTGAGAGGTACCCTGAGCCAACCTTCTACCGTATTGTTAGTGCTCAACCAGATATGGACACTGGCCGACCTCATATGGATGAAGTATGTATTGCACTGTGTTGTCTTCACTGGGCATTTGGTATTCTAGTTTTTATCTACAATTTAATGTATTCTGTGCATATTTTACATGCTTATTCTATAAAATCTATCTATATATCTATGAAAGACAGCGTCTGTCTGTCTGAGATTACAGGCCAGACGCTATGGGCTAACCTCATTGTAAATGTAAAGTTAATGTCCCAGTAAAGTCATTGTAAATGACTTTACTGGGAGTCAGATTGTTTTGACTCGGATTGTTAAATTGACCATAATTATAGGGAATTTATCTTTTGATATACAGTGGCACCTCGACTTACGAGAATTTCGAGTTACGATGTAAATTTCATCGAAAAATGCGACTCGACATACGATGGTGTCGTTGATTAACGATTTTTGTTGGTTCACGTTCAGGTCAACCAAGCGCGTGGTTCCCGGTCACGCGGCTGACCTGCCTCAGTTTACTTCAGCTACCTGCTTAGTGACGATCGCGCCTGTAAGAAATTCCGCTTTTGTGGTGATTTTCTGTGGGGAGCCCCTACGGCTCCCTGGAGCTTATCAGACTAATGTATGTTATGTTAGACCGGGACATTAGCTATGGAGTTCAGACCTACCAGGGACCAGCGCCAGAACCTGGCCCCTTCAGAGAGGTTTCAGGGAGTAATGGCCTTGGAAAACCCCATTATGGTTGGGGGTTTTCCTTATCTGCCATCGACCGGGGTCAGGCACCCAAAAAGGTAGGCATAACAAAACACACCCCACATGGTAAAATACTACAACAAAAAACCGAACAGAGAGGTAGAAACTCCCTACAATCCCAAGGAAACAATCAAACAATTAATTTACTGCCGCACTGGTCGTCCACGCAGCCCTCCCCTCCCCGGGAGGGGGAGGGGGGCCCTGGACCTCACCGCGCCAGCTGCCTTCAGTTCGTAGGCAACCGGGATAGATGCTTCTCTGGCCTCAAATTCCTGGGCGGTGTTTGCCTTGTGTGGCATTCTCTGCTATCTTTGTGTGGTGTGTGGTGGCCAGGAGTACCTCATCAGTGCTGGGGCTGCATGCGCTTAGGGGCTTCCTTCCCTAGGTGGCCTGTGAGTACTGCCCCTGCGTGTCAGGGTTATCTTCCCTGGGGCGTTCGGAAACCGCTCCCGTAGGGGTTCTTGCTGCTCGGCTTTTGCCTCGCCCTTGGGGCCAGCTGGGGCTTGGGGTCCTTGTTTGGCCTTGGGTAGGGAGTGGTGTTGTGCTGGTTAGGGCGTCAAGGTGTTGCACGTCCTGCTACCTAAGCGTCGACCGGTTCCTGTTGCCTCTGGAGACGGTGTACTTTTGCGGGGTTTTTCTCTTTTGTTTTTGTTTGCCTGGTGGAGGTTCTGCCTCGTGGGTCTATAGTTCCCCTGATGTTGTTTTGGTGGCCCTCTGTTAGGCCCCCTTGCTTGTACACGTCCCAGGGGATTTTCAGTGTTATCATCTACCCTTGTTTGGGTTTCTTAACCGGTTAGCAACACCTTGACCGGGCTTCCCATAGTTGTTACCCTACGGGCCCTGGAAACCCCTGTCGGGGCTCGGGTCCCATGGATGCATCTCCTAAGTTCCAGCCTGCCTTGTGTGGGTTTGAAGGTTGCAGTGTGCCCTTGTCTCAGGGTGACAGTCACCTGTTTTGCCTCCGTCATGCTGCCTATTGGGTCAACGACACCTTTGACCCGGAGTCTTGCGAGTCGTGTTCTCTGCTTGTGCTCCAGTTTTACTCTGAGGATGTTCCTGTTAGGGTACAGGCAGCATCAGTGTTGTATGTTAGGTTTAGGTTATTGCAACGCTCTAGGTTGGTTCCCACCCGGATGCCCCGAGGCTGCCCCGTTTTGGTTTTAGGGACCCTGACCTGGGGGCGTTAGTCGCTTTGGCTTTGGCTCCAGCCGCGCCTCCTGGTCCTTTCCCTGTGGTTCTAACTGCACCTCCCCCCCCCCCTTTGTGTCCGGTTCCAAAACGTCTGAGGGTTTCGGCCTCGGCACAGGGTTTAGTTGGTAATGAGACTCGGGCTGCCCCATCCGGGTCGGGGACAGAGGCATTTGAGCCCATTCCTCCTGCCGAGGCTTCTGGGTCCCACCAGCAGACCCCCTTCTTGTCTGCCTTTCCCTTGGACTCTGCCTTTTCTTCAGGGGTAGAGGGTTTGGAGGACAGCTCTGCCCTGGGTCCCGACGTGGGGGATCCTGGGGCTGGGGAGGAGTCAACCTGGGGCCTTGGGCCCTCTGTGACCCTGCTTGGGTGCTTTTGCCTTCCTCGCAGGGTTTATTGTTGCAGGGGGAGGGATTTTCTTACCCCCCTTTGCTGTATGAGTATGATTTGGATTCGGCTCCTCCCCGGGTTCGGTTCCGGGCACCTTTGGGTACCTCGGATCCATCTTTCCAGAGGTTTTCTACTTCCCGTATCTCCGCGAAAGTGGCTCGGGAAGCTCTTGCTGCATACCTATTGCGAGACTTGGGTTATGCCTCTGCAATGGATCCGTTCGCGTTTGAGTTCGGTTCTTCTTCCCATTTTTGGGTGAGTTTGGAGGTTCCGGAGTCTTCCTGGCTGGCAGGCTGCCCTTTCTTTTCATTGGGGGCGTGGCATGGGTTCTGTCAGACCTGCACACTTGATTGGCGGGAAACTGCTACTTTTATGCAGGTTTACCTGGGGGGGCGAGTTTGAGTATTTTATTGCGTGCTTGTTCACTCCCGTGCTTTCTCAGGATGTTGGCCTTTTCCAGCTTCACGTGCAAGTTCCTCAGCTTTTGGCTTCGTTGGTTGTGCTCGCCCTCTCTTTGGAATCCGCTTGGGCCCTGGCTCTTAGGTTTTCGTCTCCGTTTTGTCCGTTGCTGTTTGCAGAGACTGCGGTCACTCACTTTCTGCACGCGGCTTTGTCCATTTGTCGTCCTATGGCGAACGTGTTGATTCTTCGAAGCGGTCGTTCTCGGCAGTTTCGGAGGGATTGTGCCAGGGTTCCAAGTTCCGCTGGTCGAGGTGGACCATTGGTGCCAGTTTCTGAGCCGTTGTTCCCTTCGGGGCCAGCGTCGTCTGGTCAGCGCGGTGATCGCCCTGTTCGACGGTTGGGTTCTCGTAAGGGACGTCGGCCCTTTCGCGGTTCGCCACGTTGACGGGGCGATGGGGCGGAGGCTCACTCTGTTTGCTCACGCTTGGTCCCACGATTTGTGGGCCTTTTCGGTTGTGTCATCCGGCCTGCGGTGGCATTGGGCGACTCGTCCTCCTTTGGGGGGTTCAGGGCTAACAGGCCATGTTTCTTCTTCTGCACTTCGTCAAGTCGTCTTGGAGTGGGTGCGCTTGGGCGTGGTCGAAATGACTACGTCCCTCAGGTGGGTTTCCCGTGGGTTTCCAGTACCGAAACGGGACTGTGCGGATCTGAGGTTCATTCTGGACTTGTCCCGTCTGAATCCCTGGATTCCTTGCCCCTCCTTTTGGATGACTACTCTGTCTTAGGTCCGGCTTCTGTTGGAGCCAGGTGCCTGGATGGTGTCTCTGGACCTCAAGAACGCCTATTGGCACGTTCCTATTCATCTGGGGTTCAGGGACTGGTTAGGTTTCGTGGTGGGCATCACGCTTACCGTTTTCGATGCCTACCTTTTGGCTTGAATCTGGCACCTCGCGTTTTCACGCGTCTGACCCGGGTTGTGGTGACCCGTCTGCGTCTTCTAGGGATTCGGGGTTTGGCCTACCTCAACGACTGGCTGGGCTCCCAGTCGGTCAGTTTGTCTGCTCGCCAGGAATATGGTTCTTTCCCAGCTTGCCAAGTTCGGGTTCCTGGTAAACCGGAGGAAGTACCATCTGGTTCCGTGCCAGGTTCGGACCTGGCTGGGTCTTGTTTGGGATTCTCGGAGCACTTCCTTGTCTCTCCCTCCAGAGGCGTTGTTGCGGCTGTGGGACCTCCGTCAGCTGTTTCTGAGGGGGTCCCGGGTCAATCGGCGGTTCATCGAGCAGTTGTGCGGGAGTCTGAACTTCGCCGTGCTAGTCTACCCGCCTGGTCGGGTTTGGCTTCGGTATCTGTTTTGGTTCCTTCGGGGATGTCCCTTCCGCCTCTCTCGCGATCGTTGGGTTCGTCCTCCGGGGGCCTTGTGTCGGTTGCTGCGTCACCAGCTTCCTCTTCGGGGTTTTCGGGGTTTCGGTGCCTTGGCGTCTTTCCGAGCCCTCGCTCGATGTGTTCACAGACACGTTGTCTCTCGGCTGGGGCTTTGTGACCAGTGCTCACCAGGCAGGCCAGGGACGGTGAGGTCCGTCCTTCCGTTGGGCTCACAGCACGGCAGTCTGGTTTGCGCTTCGAAGGGTTCGGGTCGCTCAGGGATCGACCATTCGCCTTCATTCGGACTGTTCTCCAGTGGTTCATTGCCTGAACCGCGGGGGTTCTCTTCGGTCCTTGGCTCTTTGGGGTTGGTCTCTTAGAGTGGTTCGTCTGCTGTATTCTCGGGGTTTGGCTCTCCATGCGGTTTATGTCTGAGTGTCCAACGTTCTGGCGGACGGTCTGTCACGCTTCCATCCTCTGTCCACGGAGTGGACGGTCGACGGCGACTCGTTTTGTTGGGTCTGCCAGACGTATGATCTCCCAGATGTGGACCTCTTCACGTCGGCGTGGTCTCGGCGTCTCCCAATCTATGTGACGCCCTTCCCTGACTGCAAGGCGTTTGCGGTGGATGCCTTTCGGCAGGACTGGGCGAGGTGGGGTTACCTGTACCACTTCCCCCCCAGTCCAGCTGTTGCTTTGGGTTCTGGTTCGGTTGGAGACATTCCCAGGGAGAGTAGTCCTTGTGGCCCCTTGGTGGCTGGCCCAGCCTTGGTTTCCGATGCTATTGGCTCGGTGCCCGAACCCGGAATGTTTCCCGCGGCTCCGCCTCTTTCAGGAGGTCGGCCCGGTCCAGTACAGGGCTGGTTCGAACTTCTCCTCTGCTCTTCGCGTCTGGTCTTTTTGACACGGGTGTATCACCATTTCCATGGTGATCAGGTGGCTTCGTTGATGGTGTCCCACCTGAGAGCTTCGTCTCGGCGACAGTATGAAGTTTCCTGGCGTTCTTTTCGCCATTTTCTGGCTCTTCGTAGGTTGTCTTTTCTTTCGGACCGGGTTGTTTTGTCCTTTCTTGGCTTTTTCAGGACCGTCATTTGATGCCTAATACTGTCGCCTCGTATTGTGCGGCGCTGGCAGAGCAGCCGCTCAAGCTAGCGTTCGGGGTGGACGTCACATCCGCCCCGTTTCATAAGCTTTCCCATGCTATGTTTCACCTCCGGCCTGCTCATGCGCCTCCTGAGCTGTCCTGGTCCTTGGACAGGGTGCTCTCATATCTTTCCCATGACAGTTGCTTAATTCCTATTTACTGCTGGAGGAACAGAGCCATCAGGTGAAAGGAAACATGCTCAAGCATATAGGTCTTCTGCAGTTTCCTTTATTATTATATTTTTAGATTCATACCTTTTGTATTTTCAGCTTTAAACTGCATCTGTCAATCATTTATCATTTATATATTTTGAAAGCCTACCTAGACCATCTTGAAGTGATTTTAAGTCATCTGAATTTATTTCCCATCCCATTTTTATATAGACAGCAATTTTTCAAATGCTGCTCTTCAGTCCTGTGACTGAATCATTGATATACTGCAAACAAACAGGTTCCATGACAGATCCCTGGCACACTCTACTACAACAATTTTCCACATTAATTTAACCTTCTGTATGCTAACCCCAAGGAGGCGTAAAAGGCGAAAAGCCGAGGAGCCATTCCCAGGGTTACCATCAGAGTAGGAACGATAACCTCTTCAGACCAGAGGCTAGTTGCAGTCATTCTCCGCTATGAGTATTTTGTTTATCATCAGTGAAGGTTCTGTCCCCAGTAAGCAAAGGTCCAATGCAGTACTAGAGGCAGTTTTGATACAGTATCAATTTTGTGTAAGGTAGTTGGGTTTCTTTAATTTTTACTAATAATTAATTAGACGAGTTATTTGTTCTTATTAAAATGTTATTGAATATTATTATCCCATTTGCTTACAGGATAACATGAGAGGGAAAATATTGGTGGAGAAAGTATTCCGTGGAAAGTATTGTGGAGTGGTGGACATTTCCAAAGCCGCATATAAGACAGACTTCCGCTTGATACACAAACATGACGAAGCCAAGTATTTGCAGGCGCAGGAAAAAGTTACTCATGCTGAGCAAAAAATTTTACCTAATACCTTGGAAATGCCACCTCTTCTTAAGGTTAGTAAGACATGGCAGTCAAAGCTCGAGGTACAAATTGTAAAATCACTTGTAAATATAAGCAGTGATTGATCTTAATAGATTTTAAATACATTTTTCTTGTTCCCATTACCTTCAATATCAGTATTATCACTATTCAGCTTTTAAATAAGGAGGAGTTACAAATGGGATGCAAATGTTGAGTCAAACCATATGACAGCAGGGAATGATCAGTGTCTCGAGATGTTGAACATAAACACTGCATGGAAAATAAATAAGTAAGTAAATATACAGTATATATATATATATTATATATGTGTGAGAAAGCTGCATGAACGCACAAGCCATATATCACTAAGAACTCTTTGACCCAGCCAGGATTCGAACCCATGCCGTCCAGGATCACCCCTAAACGTACACAGTACCAGGACCACCGCACCAATGATCGTCTATATATATTTATATTATAAATATATATATATATATATATATATATATATATATATATATATATATATATATATATATTATATATATATATATATTATATATATATATATATATAATTATTAAATATGACCGAAAAAGTAAGATTAATAATTCTAACACGAATTCTCTCAATCTTTCGTACATTTCTTTTCACTGTTGGAGGTAAATCAAAAATCAATTCTCCAAAATTCATTTTTATTTCTAGTCTGACGCGACACGAGCGCGTTTCGTAAAACTTATTACATTTTCAAAGACTTTAGTTTACAAATACACAACTGAATAGAACTTACGCATCTCCGATTTTATATCTACATTTGAGAGAGGTGGATGGGGTGAGGTGGCATTAATAGGGTATTAATTTCATCAACACAAGACAGAACAAGAGGTGGCATTAATAGGGTATTAATTTCATCAACACAAGACAGAACAAGAGGTGGCATTAATAGGGTATTAATTTCATCAACACAAGACAGAACAAGAGGTGGCATTAATAGGGTATTAATTTCATCATTAATTTCATTGTTGATGAAATTAATACCCTATTAATGCCACCTCTTGTTCTGTCTTGTGTTGATGAAATTAATACCCTATTAATGCCACCTCACCCCATCCACCTCTCTCAAATGTAGATATAAAATCGGAGATGCGTAAGTTCTATTCAGTTGTGTATTTGTAAACTAAAGTCTTTGAAAATGTAATAAGTTTTACGAAACGCGCTCGTGTCGCATCAGCCTAGAAATAAAAATGAATTTTGGAGAATTGATTTTTGATTTACCTCCAACAGTGAAAAGAAATGTACGAAAGATTGAGAAAATTCGTGTTAGAATTATTAATCTTACTTTTTCGGTCATATTTAATAATATATGTCTACAGGAAAGACTGCTACCAAAATATACTAATATATATATATATATATATATATATATATATATATACAGAGCACCACTTGGTTTCCGAACCCCTTGGGGACGAGACCCGTCGGTTAACATGTAAGTTCGTATACGAGAAATAGAGGGGAAAAATAAACTAGAAATGTAAAAAGAAATTTTTCCGAAAAATTTATGAAAAAAACTCTAGGGAAAAAAATCGTCAGGTTCATGGCGTAAATGCGACCGTGTTTTGTTTGTACTCATCAATAAGTGAAGTCCTGATCCGCTTTATAAAAGTCCTTAATTGTTCCTAACTGATTAATAAGACGTCTGGCAAACATCCTCTGGATGTTTCCTGCCAGCCTGCAGGCACATCCTGCCTAAAATATACGATGATGTACTGTACATTTAAGAAACAAATCTGGGTCACAGGTCTGTGGAGTGTGGTTAGGCTTACGGAGTCAGCCGGTCCCTCCCCCACCACCAACACACCTCCCCCTCTCCCCCCACCACCAACACACCTCCCCCTCTCCCCCCACCACCGACACACCTCCCCCTCTCCCCCCACCACCGACACACCTCCCCCTCTCCCCCCACCACCGACACACCTCCCCCTCTCCCCCCACCACCGACACACCTCCCCCTCTCCCCCCACCACCGACACACCTCCCCCTCTCCCCCCACCACCGACACACCACCCCCCACCCCCACCCCCCACCCAAACCCATACACACACACACACACTCTCAAAGGTCACGTGGTTCACAGTTCACTTCAACACCCATATATCGCTTCCTGCCTGCCTGCCTCCTTCCCACCCTGCCAGCCTGCTTCCTTCCCAGCCTGCCTCCTTCCCAGCCTGCCTCCTTCCCAGCCTGCCTGCCTGCCTCCTTCCCAGCCTGCCTCCTTCCCAGCCTGCCTCCTTCCCAGCCTGCCTCCTTCCCAGCCTGCCTCCTTCCCAGCCTGCCAGCCTGCCTCCTTCCCAGCCTGCCTCCTTCCCAGCCTGCCAGCCTGCTTCCTTCCCAGCCTGCCTGCCTGCCTCCTTCCCAGCCTGCCTCCTTCCCAGCCTGCCAGCCTGCTTCCTTCCCAGCCTGCTTCCTTCCCAGCCTGCCAGCCTGCTTCCTTCCCAGCCTGCCTCCTTCCCAGCCTGCCAGCCTGCTTCCTTCCCAGCCTGCCTCCTTCCCAGCCTGCCTCCTTCCCAGCCTGCCAGCCTGCCTGCCAGCCTGCTTCCTTCCCAGCCTGCCTGCCTGCCTCCTTCCCAGCCTGCCAGCCTGCCTCCTTCCCAGCCTGCCAGCCTGCCAGCCAGCCTGCCTGCCAGCCTGCCTGCCAGCCTGCCTGCCTGCCAGCCTGCTTCCTTTCCAGCCAGCCTGCCTCCCCCCCTGCCATCATGCTAACGGGTAGTGTGTGTTAGGCTTATCTTTGGGAATGAGCCGGTCTCACCCCCACCACCAGCAAACCACCCGGCCCCCTACATCCCATATCTCAAGGTCACGCGGTTCAACCGCGTGACTACCACTCACTCCCTGCCTGCAAGCTAGCCTGCCTGCCTGCCTGCCTGTGCCTGCCTGCCTGTGCCTGCCAGCCTGCCTTTCCCTCCCTAATTCTCACTACTTTCATCCCTTCCTGCCTACCTCCTAGCATCTCTCCCTACCTCCCCCTCCCTCTTAGCATCTCTCCCTACCTCCTAACATCTCTCCCTACCTCCCCCTCCCTCCTAGCATCTCTCTCCCCCCCTCTCTCACTGATTCTCCCCCCCCCCCCCTCATTCATACTGCCTCCCACCTAAGTTCCATCGTCCATCCACCCACCAGTCAGCCATCACTGACGCAATGGGTGCATTTGGAGCCAACATGGTGCACAGATGTTTCTTGATTGTGCAGATATGTAAAACAAAAGCACAGAATGAACATTCCAGCCTTATGGCAATTCAAAATAATAGGAATAATAGGCCGTGAATCTGTGAAGTCACAGTGGGCAAACTGGACCATCGCCCACCCACCACCACAAGCCGGCGTGACGCTTGGCGGACCCCTTCCTACCCGAACTTTGTTCGGGTAGCATGACTCCCCAACCCCAATCGGGAAACTGGAAGTTTCGGATAACTAAAGTTCGGAAACCAAGTGGTGCTCTGTATATATATATATGCGGAAAATCCACAGAGAAATATGAAATGAGGTTAACGTTTCGGCTTGTTAAAGCCTTTGTCAACAAAGGCTTTGTTTGTACTGGTATGTACAAACTTGATCCATTTTTAAGTTATAATATTGCACAACAGTTTAAGAAACAACTCTGATAGAGAGGCTTACAATGTCTCATTATAATTGTATATTCATATATTGTGTGTTCATGAGGCTTTTCTTTAATCTTTCTTCCTTATTCTCTGACCGCTTAATCCTCTTTGACCATTCTAAGCTAAGCTATACCTGTTTTTGGTTAATTCTTTCCCTAGGGATGGGTTGGTCAGGTGTCGGCCTATATATCCTCCCCCTTCCCTTCTCCTTAGTCAGTCTGGTGTTGACAAAGGCTTTAACAAGCCAAAACGTTCACCTCATTTCATATTTCTCTGTGGATTTTCCGCATAAAATGATCAGTGTTTTGTGATCGTCAATTGCATATATATATATATATATATATATAATATAATATAATGCAATTGATATATATTGTAGTTAGAAAAAACATTGTATTCAGTATAAAATGTATTTGTATGTTAATATTTTGGAGGGTGGGGAATGGATTAATTCAAATCCCTTTATTTCTTATGGGAAAAATTGGGACTTAATTTTATGGGACTTACAATATTTCGACTTACGATCCGTCTCTGGGAACGGATTAGCATCGTAAGTCAAGGCCCCGTTGTACTACTAACTTTTTTTTTCACACCACACACACACACTCTTATCCCAAGTTCTTTCCCAAGAGGCAGACAAGAGGAGCTCCAGGATATTTCAACAATCCTAAGTATTGTAGTACAGGATGATGATAGTGAGTGGTGTCCCAGAGAACATAAAGGTATAGTGCTTTTGAAAAATAGGTTAGATAACAGGAATGTGCTCAGGGAAGTGAAAAATTGGATGAGAAAAAGTTGCCCTAGTGTTTCCAGTGCAGAGAAGAACATTCAAGATGGCCGCCGGCAAGAGGAAATACAAAACAGAGCTTGATTTTGCTGGATTCAATGAAGAAAGCATTGATATAACCAGTCTATACAACAAGTTGGTAAAATTAGATACTACAGTGAACTCTCATGTAGAAATAATTAGTAAATTGCAAGAAAGTAATGACCATTTAAGGGGGCGTTATTCACAAAATATGCAAAAAATGAAAACTCGTTCAATTTCAATCAAACTTTTTTGACAAGTTGTATATGAAAAGGGTTTCATTTGGTCCAAGTCTCAGCATCGTAGCATAAATAGGAAGGGTGAAAAAAAATATTGAATTATGTGTCAAAAATGGTCAAAAAAGATTATCAAACAAAAATGTCAACTGAAATCATGTCTATGACTCTCAGCTATCACAATAGCATATATTAAAAACAAATTATAATTAGTTTTATTAACAAAAAATTTAGTTAAAAAAAAAAGTTAAATTTTACTCTTTTTTTTTTTTTTTTTTTTTTTTAATTTTATCTCTCTCTTTTGTTTATGGGGCGATTTGCATGAAACTTATACACCTGACTGCACGTATGCCTATCTGTAAGGGTGCCAATTTTGGAGGAAATTGGTTGATGACAACTTCAGCCACAGAGGGCAACACCTTAGACTTTATTTTTTACTTACTTGAAAGTTTATCTTACTTGAAAATGACTATCTCTTTCATTTTTTATGCAATTTACATGAAACTTACACATTATATATAAATTTTATGTCTCTAAAATCGTTAGCAAGCGTTTTTATCTGGAATTCTTTATTGACTTTATAATAGCAATAAACATGATATATTTGCATAATTTTGTGGGGGAACTTAGACTATTTGTATTGGGAAAACTAAAGACGTTTTGGAAAATCTTTTGCAAGGGATCCTTTATTATATGTTAATGTGTCAGAAAAGTGTCATAGAATGATTATATCTGAAAGGTGTGGTTGCAAATTTACACTTGAAAATGTGTAAAATTCGTTGAAAAAAAAATAAAAAAAATTAAAAATCTCCCTTACTATTTAGGCTACAGTACTGAAACTTGGAACAATTGTAGCCCTTTTCATATACAACTAGTCAAAAATAATGGTTGACACTAAACAACAACTTTATGATACCCGAATAACGCCCCCTTAAATAGCAAAGTTGTATGTCTTGAGGGTTTAGTGAAAGACTTGTGCAAGGATAAGAATTAATTGGAAATAAATTGCAAAGCCATGGAAGAAGAAAATAAACTCTTAAAAATAGCTTTGGAAGAAGTTAAAGTAAATTTAAACATAAATGACTACAATAGGTTAGGTAAGGAAATTCAACAGGAGAAACAGCTTTTGTCAGCACAGATGGAGGAAGTTACACAGGGAATAGAACAGTGCAAGAAAGATATGCAACTCACCTATGCACAAGTGGCCAAGGAGAAGGAAAAAATTGAAGCAGCAGTAAAGGAAGTCAAACACTGCAGCAAACAAGATAAAACAAACATTAGGCTGGAAGTGAGAAAAGAATTGGCATCTAACCCAAAGGTGGTGCAAAACACAGTTGATCGGAGTAAGTCCCTGATAATTTTTGGCTGCAAAGAAAAGGAGATAACATCTAGGTCAGAAGAGCTGTAGAAGAAGCAAAAGTAGTAGATAAAATTGTTAGCCTCATGGAAGGTCTTACAACCATAGAGAATGTGTGCGACTACAGGAGAATAGGCAGATATGTAAAAGGGAAAGATCGACCTTTGAGAATCACCCTAAAAGGTGCCAAACAGATGGAAGAAGTACTAAGGAATGCTAGAAAATTACAAAGTGATGAGGATGGGAAAGTGTGGTCGTTAAGATGAGATCTTTCAAAAGAAGACGGGGAGAAGCTGAAACTGAACCTCACCGAGGCAAAACGTTTAAATGAGAGCAGGAATGAAGAAGAAATCAATTCTTTTTTCTACAAAGTGATAGGGGTAGGCAGACCAGTAAAGTGGTACATAAAGGCAAACCAACAAAATCATTAGAGAGAGGGGGAGTGAAAAATAAGAAGAGGGAGAACAAGTTCCTGAAGATTGCATACACCAACATAGATGGAATAAGATCGAAGATACTGGAGTTAAGTGATGTAATACAGCTGCAGACACCAGACATTGTTGCACTCACGGAGACAAAACTTGAAGATGTTATTTTAACACTTTCGCGCTAACCGGACTCACCGAGGAGTCCTGTTTCGCCTAACGCTACCGCATAGTGGACATAAAGTTATGTCCTCTTTTAAAATATTTGTATAAAATTCAATTTTTATCCGATTTACTTTGGGTTTGTTTCAAACTGCGCGCCATGAGGCTCTCTTTCTCACCACTAGGCTGCATTGTACAATAAGTTCATGAAAGGTGTGGACCACTTTGATCAAATGGTATTATGTCCCAAACGGGTTGCAGGTGGGTGACTTTAGCCGTTTATACTGGCAATGCTTCCCCCATATCATGTATTATATGCATATGTCTGTTTAGGGAATTTTATTCCGATCAATGTACAACCAAAAATAACTGTGTGCAACAAGTATAAACTTGACAAACATAACAAAAGTAAAAACATTTCGTGTGTGTTTGATGCTCACCGATATGTTCCAGCGTTGTTTTATATTTGGCGCTATTCTATCTTACGCTTTGTTGATCTTTTTTACCTATGGGCTCATAGAACATTCTATTGCGAACACATTGACACAAAAATGAATGACGTACATAGAAAATTAATGTCATGAGAGTGAAATAAGTATAAACTTTCAAAGCTCCGTGCGTCGTCCCGTCACCGATACCGGGTAACAATTTCACCACTTCCCACACTCTTGCGGGCGGGCCGCAATCATTATTCTACGCTTATATTCATATCACCGTGTTGGGAATTTCATTGCGAGTCTATTGATACCAAAATTAACGCTGTAGGACAAGTGTGGAGGTGATAACAATCCCAAGAGTAAAAACATTTTGTTGCTGTTGGGCGCTCACGGCGAGTCATCTTCGTAGTTATTTATTTGGTGCTGGTATCCCTATACGTTTCGTGACTTTTTTACTGATGTTCTTCTAGAGAATTTTATTGCGAACACGTTGGTACCAAAATGAAATACGTAGCTCAAGAACTAAGGTAAGGAGAGTAAAAAGAGTATACACATTTTTGTTTTTACACTTACTCAGCAAAAACGCTCCGCGCACATACCGCTTTTTTTTTACCATCGCAGGGAGCGCGAAAGTGTTAAATGAGGTCATATTCCCAAGGGGCTACTCAATTTGGAGACGGGACAGAAAAATTAGGAAAGAATCATTGAATGTAATGAAACTCCAATTACTGGGTGAGCCCCAGAGGCTCCCTGACACCCTCCCTCCCCAGGGCATTGGGGTGGGAGGGTGTCATAATCATACAAACTGAGGGTGAAGCGAGCTGGCTCATCCGGTTTGCCTTCCGCCTCCTCCCCTCCTCTTTTCAAATGAGTGGGGGAGGTATGAGTATGGTATGGGGGAGGTATGAGTATGGTATGGGGGAGGTATGAGTATGGTATGGGGGAGGTATGAGTATGGGGGAGGTATGAGTATGGTATGGGGGAGGTATGAGTATGGTATGGGGGAGGTATGAGTATGGTATGGGGGAGGTATGAGTATGGTATGGGGCAGGTATGAGTATGGTATGGGGGAGGTATGAGTATGGTATGGGGGAGGTATGAGTATGGTATGGGGGAGGTATGAGTATGGTATGGGGGAGGTATGAGTATGGTATGGGGGAGGTATGAGTATGGTATGGGGGAGGTATGAGTATGGTATGGGGGAGGTATGAGTATGGTATGGGGGAGGTATGAGTATGGTATGGGGGAGGTATGGCAAAATAGTTCGTGCTAGTTTCACTAAATTTTTGTGGTTTTTAATTTTTGGTGGAGTTCTTTTGACAAATTTTGAGGTCTTGTTCTAACCATGCAGTAGTTTTTTTGTTTTTGCTGACTTTTATGGGAAACATAATTAACTTTACATTTAAAGTATTCCTAGTGCCACCACTCCTTGTGCCTCTCTGAGGGGGCCAAGCTCTGGCTTAGTCATTCCAGATATGCTAATAAGAACTCCGCGAGTGACAGCACCTAGTAGTACGACACTGAACCAGTGTAATAGCTTCAGGTCAGTTTCACCCAGAAATTGGTGTTTAATTACATTCATTGGTAGTTTTATGTGTCTCCTTAACCAGCAAAGATAGAGAGGTAATATTTGATACAGAGGACACTTTAGACAAGGACTAATGTCTAAGTAGTTTTAATTGTTATATAAGGAACATATGAACTGTACATTGTCACACCATATATAACTGCAAACTTTTCAACTTTCAGATTGTAGCAGAAAGGGAAGGCCATGCATCTAATGTCCTCCAACTTCGGTTGAGTAATAATGGCAGAGCTCGCCTTGCTCAAGATGGAGAGGAACCCACTGTTAAGTTATCACTTGGGTTAGGGACACCACTTAGCCCACAGCTGTATGAAGGCGTGTTATAAGAATTTGTTTCCGGACCGAAATATTATCTAAGGCTGAACAGTAATTTAGTTGCATTTGAAGTAACTTGTACAGCAAATACCTTATTTTCATTTTTTGTTTCAGTATATATTATTATAACTCGATGAGTCCTGTGTCGCAATGGCCTACATTGTCAGCTCACAACCCAGTGTCCAAGATTAAATTCCTGCAGTTGCACAGAGATAGTTGAGAACGTTTCCTTTTACCTGATGTCTCTGTTGATGTAACAATAAATAGGTACCTCGGAGCTAAGCAAGAGTTGTGGGTTGTATCCTGGGAAAGGTCAATAGTTGGCTTAAGAGGACACTAATAAGCCTACCACACTTCCAGTCCCTGACAGCAGGAAACAGTTATACTGTATATACTACACCTGGAATTCTTAGCTAATTATTTATTGAAATTTTTTATTGTCATGACTATAATTTATAATTCTTTGGAAGTTACTTTAAAGTTTGTTTTCACTTGATGTCATTGTAAAATAATAAGTCATAAATTATATTGTGACAGAAGTAATTCTCTTAATCCCAAAGGTGAGGGATATTGATAAGTAATTTCCTAATGTTGCTATTATGAAAGTACTGTAATTTGAGATTATGCTGCTCTCGTACCAAGGTCACAAAGATGATCTTCCCTGTGAATCCATAAGCAGCTTGCATCTAACAAATTATCTGTTGTGAAAAATAAGGCTTTAAGTATACAATCAACTACCGGCCTTATCAGTTCAACTTTCTGTGGCAGTGTCAGACTGCCCTGCTGGCCCATTAATGGGCTGGTGTCAAGCTGCCCTGCTGGCCCATTAACGGGCTGGTGTCAAGCTGCCCTGCTGGCCCATTAATGGGCTGGTGTCAAGCTGCCCTGCTGGCCCATTAATGGGGTGTTGTCAAGCTGCCCTGCTGGCCCATTAATGGGCTGGTGTCAAGCTGCCCTGCTGGCCCATTAATGGGCTGGTGTCAAGCTGACCTGCTGGCCCATTAATGGGCTGGTGTCAAGCTGACCTGCTGGCCCATTAATGGGCTGGTGTCAAGCTGCCCTGCTGGCCCATTAATGGGGTGTTGTCAAGCTGCCCTGCTGGCCCATTAATGGGCTGGTGTCAAGCTGCCCTGCTGGCCCATTAATGGGCTGGTGTCAAGCTGACCTGCTGGCCCATTAATGGGCTGGTGTCAAGCTGACCTGCTGGCCCATTAATGGGCTGGTGTCAAGCTGACCCTGTTGGCCCATTAATGGGGTGTTGTCAAGCTGCCCTGCTGTCCCATTAATGGGCTGGTGTCAAGCTGCCCTGCTGGCCCATTAATGGGCTGGTGTCAAGCTGACCTGCTGGCCCATTAATGGGCTGGTGTCAAGCTGACCCTGTTGGCCCATTAATGGGGTGTTGTCAAGCTGCCCTGCTGTCCCATTAATGGGCTGGTGTCAAGCTGCCCTGCTGGCCCATTAATGGGCTGGTGTCAAGCTGACCTGCTGGCCCATTAATGGGCTGGTGTCAAGCTGACCCTGTTGGCCCATTAATGGGGTGTTGTCAAGCTGCCCTGCTGGCCCATTAATGGGGTGTTGTCAAGCTGCCCTGCTGGCCCATTAATGAGGTGTTGTCAAGCTGCCCTGCTGGCCCATTAATGAGGTGTTGTCAAGCTGCCCTGCTGGCCCATTAATGAGGTGTTGTCAAGCTGCCCTGCTGGCCCATTAATGGGCTGGTGTCACACTGACCTGCTGGCCCATTAATGGGCTGGTGTCAAGCTGCCCTGCTGGCCCATTAATGGGGTGTTGTCAAGCTGCCCTGCTGGCCCATTAATGGGGTGTTGTCAAGCTGCCCTGCTGGCCCATTAATGGGGTGTTGTCAAGCTGCCCTGCTGGCCCATTAATAGGGTGTTGTCAAGCTGCCCTGCTGGCCCATTAATGGGGTGTTGTCAAGCTGACCTGCTGGCCCATTAGTGGGGTGTTGTCAAGCTGCCCTGCTGGCCCATTAATGGGGTGTTGTCAACCTAACCCTGCTGGCCCATTAATGGGGTGTTGTCAACCTAACCCTGCTGGCCCATTAAGGCAATGTCATGTTGTCCCTGCAGGGTGGGGAGAGGGAGGTGTCAAGCTGCCCCTCTCCCCGTGCTGGCCTATTAATGGGGCAATGTCAAGCCACTCCTGCTGGGTCATTAATGGGGCAATGTCTAGCCACCCCTGCTGGGTCTTTAATGGGGAGGTGTCAAGCTGGGCTGGGGAGGCCAATACTGGTAATTTGGTACCTGGTTGCTACTAGTGACCAAAGAAGGAAGGAACATTATGAGGAACACTTGCCACAGAGTGGAGTCGGAAGCGGGCTACAGAGTGGAGTGAAAAGTAAGTACAGTACAGTAAGTAAATTATCAAAAGAAGGCACCAAGCCGGGGATACTAAGTAGCACCATCAAAGTTGCAGGAGATTCAAAAGGTGCTAAATATCACTAAGGATGCAAATACGAGTTCAAAATCATGTTAGTCGAGTAATATCGAAGGCATCAGATTCACTGAGGAAATTGCAACTAAATTGCAAAAGTATAAAATGTGTTGAGAACAAATAAAAATAAAAAAGGGGGGAACAAGGCAGAAACAGCAGCACAAATGCAATTAGGTCGACAAACAGCGTTTAAAAAAAACAGACATGGGTTGACAATATAGGGGTAAGGTAGGTTACAGGGAATTTATTAGGTAGTGCTTAGTTTTTATCTTAAACTGGTTGAGAGAGGTACAGTCTTTAACATGATTGGGAAGGTCATTCCACATTCTGGGTCCCTTGATTTGTAGAGCATTTATAGTTTGATTAAGTCATACTCTTGGAATATCAAAACGGTATTTGTTTCTGGTGTGATGCTCATGGGTTCTGTTACAGCCTTCAATGAAGCTTTTGAGGTCAGGATTGGCATTACAGTTCAGCATTTTATATATGTATAATACACATGAGAGGATGTGCAGTGACTTAATGTCTAACATATTCAGAGATTTGAGTAGGGGTACCGAGTGATGTCTGGGGCCAGAGTTGGATATTGTCCTAATAGCAGCTTTGTGTTGAGTAATTAGAGGACGTAAATGATTTTGGGTAGTAGAACCCCAAGCACAAATACCATAGTTGAGATATGGATAGATGAGGGAGTAATAGAGAGTCACCAGGGCAGGGCAGGGTACATAATATCTGATCTTAGAAAGAATGCTAACAGTTTTTGAAACTTTTTTTTATATATTTAGAATGTGTCCCTGGAAATTCAGCTTTTGGTCAATGAGAACGCCAAGGAATTTGCTATCTAATTTGTTACAAATTTGGGTATTGTTTATTTTGAGATTTATTTGATTAGAGGATTTATTGCCAAACAGAATATGGAAAGTTTTGTCAGTGTTAAGGGTGAGTTTGTTGGCAGTTAGCCAAAGATGGACTTTATTTAGCTCAGTATTCACTGTGACATTTAGAGCAAGGGGTCAGGACTGGAATAAATGAAGGTTGTGTCGTCAGCAAACAGAATTGGTTTGAGGTGTTGGGAGGCATTTGGAAGGTCATTAATGTAGATGAGAAAGAGGAGAGGGCCAAGTATGCTGCCCTGAGGAACACCAATGTTGATGGGTAATTGAAATTGAAATAAGTTTATTGAGGTAAAATACACACAAAGGGATGAGGTAGCTCAAGCTATTCTCACCACATTCAGTACAACGTGTTAATACATACATAGACACACATCACAAATAAACATATTACCAAACATTCTGAGAGATAAACATACATTTCCTCCTTCACAAGTAGTATGTTATCAGACGTACACACAAATACTTTTATGACCTAGGTATACTGTATAGACAATTTGCAAGAGACATGCAGATAATTCAACAAAATATTAGTCTTGGTGCAAAATTCTTATATCTCACAAGAATATCATCAACCTTTCCGTTGTGACACATCCAGGCTATTTTATTTTTTATTTATTTTTTTTTTTTTTTGAGATATATACAAGAGTTGTTACATTCTTGTACAGCCACTAGTACGCGTAGCGTTTCGGGCAGGTCCCTGGAATACGATCCCCTGCCGCGAAGAATTGGTTTTTTTCATCCAAGTACACATTTTACTGTTGCGTTAAACAGAGGCTACAGTTAAGGAATTGCGCCCAGTAAATCCTCCCCGGCCAGGATACGAACCCATGACATAGCGCTCGCGGAACGCCAGGCGAGTGTCTTACCACTACACCACGGAGACTTCAGGAACAGTCCTTATCTCAGTGTTTCTATATACATTAATCAACGGACAATCAAGAACATAATGGGCCAGGGTGTGAGACCTTAACATACCACATAGTTTACACCTCGTGTCATTATCATGAACATCTATCCAATATTCCCAGTAATATTTGTACCCAAGCCTGAGTCGCATGTACACACAGTCACTCCAAGCATTTCTCCTTTTACCATAAGTGAAATGGGTGTTTTGACTCGCATACATGTAGTGTTGCATGGTTTGACTTCTCTCATACATTATCTCTCTCCTCTCCACTCCTGCCTGTGCCTGAATATTTCTGATTTTGCTTCTTATTTGTCTCATTGTGAATTCACATTCAATGTCAACTTGTGGTTTTGATGTGGCACGTTTGGCCAAGTCATCCGCCACCTCGTTGAGCAGTTGGGTGTAGGGTGGGAGAAATTGAATTATTCACAGAAACATACTGGAGCCTGTCAGTAAGGTAGGATTTGAGGTATTGCACGGAGTGTCCTCCGACTCCATAATGATGTAATTTAAGAAGAAGGTTTTGGTGGTTGACAGTGTCAAATAGTGGCTTTATAGGATTGTAATTACCATGCTATGTATTCTCACAAACCCAATGTACCTTCTTGTATATAAATAAATAAATAAATAATCCGTGTCAATACCGAAGTAACATCCGGAAGTTTCACAGCGGATAATATTTATGCATTCTTTTTGCTGTACTTCCTAATGCTTTGTTTTACTACAACTAGACCACCCTGACAGTCTTGTAGAGACATGATAGTTTGTGTGGTTCAGTCATCATAAGTCGTCAAGAATGGAGCGTCGTCAATTTGGTTCAGCGAGTTCAGTTTAGTTAATATATTATGTATTACCCCATTGGATATGGGGTGCATACCCAATACCCCATTGATGGGTATGGGGTATGCACCCCATACCCATCCTGTAGGCGGTAGTGGAAAGTTACAAAGACACATAATGGGCT